TACTGGGAGGAGAAAGAAAGAGGTAGAATGGGCTAAATTATCTCACATAAAAGAGGCAAGAAAAAGCTTTCACAGTGGAGGGGAAGAGGGTGGAAGTGAGGGGGAATAAGTGAACCTTACTCATCAGAATTGGCTCAAAGAAGAGGGGGAGAGATAGAAGGGAGGGCAGATTAGGGGAAAGGGTATTCAGAATGCACACTATTTTGGGGTGGGGGGAGGGACAATATGGGGAGAAAATTTGGAACTTGATCTTGTGGAAATGAATGTTGAAAACTAAAAATAAATTAATTAATTAAAAAAAAAAAGAATTGGCTCAAAGAGGGAATAGGATAGACAGGGAATGGGGTATAGAAATCTATCTTACCCTACAGCAAAGTAGAAGGGGAGGAGGATAAGAGAAGGGGAAGGGGTGATAGAAGGGAGAACAGATTGGGGCAAGGGTAGTCAGAAGCAAAACACTTTTGAAGAGGGATTGGGTGAAAGGTGAGAGAATAGAATAAACAGGGGTATGGGGAATAGGATGGAGGGAAATATAGGTAGCAGTAGTAACCGTGCAAAAAAATTTCTGAAGCAAGTTTCTCTGATAAAGGCCTCATTTCTCTAACATATAGAGAACTGTGTCAAATTTATAAAAATAAGAGTCATTCCCCAATTGATAAATGATCAAAAGAGAGAATCAGTTTTCAGATGAAGTAGTTAAAGCTATCTATAGGTATATGAAAAAATATTCTAACTCACTATTGATTGAAGAAATGCAAATTAAAACAATTCTGAGGTATTGTCTCATACCTATTAGTTTGACTAATAGGAAAGAAAAGGTAAATGACAAATGTTGGAGGAGATGTGGGAAAAAAGGGACATTAATGTACTGTTGTCAGAGTTGTGAACTGATTCAACAACCATTCTGTAGAGCAATTTGGAGCTATGCCCAAAGGGCTATAAAACCGTGTATGCCCTTTGACCTAGCAATACCACTACTGTATCCCAAAAGAGATAAAAAGCAAAAAGGAAAAGGACCTATATGTACAAAAATATTTATAGCAGCTCTTTTCTGGGGGCAAAGAATTAGAAATTGAGGGGATGCCCATCAATTGGGGAATGGCTGAACAAGTTGTGGTATGTAATTATGATGGAATACTATTGTACTCTAAGAAATGATGACAGGATGCTTTCAGAAAAACCTGGAAAGATTGCATGGGTTGATGCAAAGTGAAATGTACTGGGTACAAAGTAACAGCAATATTGTAAGATGATCAGCCATGAATAACTTAGCTATTCTCACAGTACAACAAGCCAAGACAACTCTGAAGGACTTAGGATGAAAAATACTATCCATCCCCAGAGAAAGAACTAATGGTGTCTGAATACAGATTGAAGCATAGTTTTGTTTTTTTTTAACTTTCTTTATTTTTCTTGAGATTTTTTTTTGTCTGTTTTCTTTCACAATGTGAGTATTATGGATATGTTTTGCATGACTACACATATATAACCTATATGGAATTACTTGCTTTCTCAATGGGGGTGAAGTGGAAAGAGAGGGAGGAGAGAATTTGGAACTCAAAGTTTTAAAAACAAATGTTAAAAATTGTTTTGACATGTAACTGGGGAAAAATTAAATACTAAATAAATACCCCAAAAATGAGAATTTTAAAAAAAAAGGGGACTCTAGCCAAGCATTGGCTATCTATCTGTCATAGCCAAGGCAGATTTCCATATCCTAGACCTTGGGAGATTGGACTGAAGTATGGGAATGGGTTTTGTTGTAAGTCTGTGTCATGTCCTTCAGTCTGCTGGTGCAGCCTTACTAATGATAGCAGGGGTCATGGAAGAGGGGATGCTGAATGGGCTCAGGTTTAGTGAGCGTTAATGGGTATGGGGTTCATTTTTAAAACCTTTTTTTTGAGTTCTGGGCGTTCTTGACAAGTGGAGACAGCTGAAATTGCTTTATCTTTGTTACATCATTCCTCTTTTGGAGAGATTGGAGAGGTTGTGGGGATCAGAGAAAATTCTACTCTTCCATCTTATTGCTCACATGAGCCATTCTTGATAAATTTGAAAAAGATTTAAGAGGGAAAAAAGCCAGAAAAGCATGAATTAAAAAGGCACAATGTGGTACTTGAAATAACTTTTTAACTTACATATTCTAAAGAATATTTTCTTGAATATTTTTTAATTTTAAAACTTTTAATGCACAATTACTTTTTTATTCTTTTATTTTCAGTTCCAAATTCTCTTCCTACCTCTACTCCTTTCCCCACCCAATAAGAAGGCAAGGAAAAAAATTCAATTACAAATATATATAATCATGCAAAACAGAGTTCTGCATTAGCCATGTTCCAAAAAGGAAGAAAAAAAAAAGAAAGAAAAGATAAATGTTTTAGTCTGTAACTCTGAATCCATCAGCTCGCGCTCTCTCTCTGGAGGAAGATATCATATTTCATCATGAATCCTTTGTAATTATGGTTGGTCATTATTTTAATTTGAGTAAGTCTTTCAAAATTTATATTTAAAAATATTTCTGTTAGTCTGTAGTTTGTTTTCTTGGTTCTTAACTTTGCATCAGTTCGTACAGGTTTTCCTAAAATCATCTCCTTCATCATTTCTTCCAGTACAATAGAATTCTATAACATTTATATATAATGACTTTTTTAGCCATTCCCCAATTGATGAGCATCCTCTCAGTTTTCAATTCTTTGCTATCATAAAAACAGCTGCTATGAATATTTTTGTGCATATGGTCCTTTTCCTTTTATCTCTTTGGGATACGATCCTCAGCTTTGATAAGAAAATTTTATTTGTTATAGTTTTATATTTATAAACTTATAAATATATACATATTTACATAGTATGTTATATATTATATATTTTGCATTTTTAAATTATTTTTTCTGATTAAAGGGGAAAATGGCATTATAAAGATTGTAAGACAATATACAGAACCAAACTGATGTTCATTTGTGCCCTTTCTGTCTTTGATAGTTATGTTACACATTGTATTATTATGAAAATGCTTAAATCTTTTTAGTAAATCAAGACCCAGAATTGATATGAACAGCAGAATTTGTTAATCATATTGTTTTATGTGCCATATGTGATATATTTGTATTGAGGTTTTCACTCCTCTTGTACAGGGTTCATTGAATCCATATCTTTGGAATTCTTGTCCCACACTATTAGTTAAGTAGCCTTAGCTCCTTAAGTAGTTAAATAAGTAGTTAACTAACTACTTAAGTAGTTAAGTAACAAGGAACAAGGGTTATCTGTTTTTTTTTACAGCATTTGATCAAATTCCCAAAAGAGCTGATGTTTTAGAATAATCTGAATGACTTCAGGACCTTGTTAACATTTACATAATTATACCAAAAAATTCTCCCATAGGATATTTTACTGTGAACCATAGTTGCCGTAATATTGTTTGAAGAATTTGGGATCTTTTCCAGCTATATTCTTATTAATCCTCCTACTATCTTGGATCATAATATATCATAACATCTGTGGCAACTTGTGTGTGTGTGTGTGTTTGTGTAAGAAAGAGGGAGAATGTTTAGGAATAACTTTCTTAAGCCACTGAGGGAAAGAAGACAAATTGACTCCCAGCCAAGTGTTTTGTCCAGCATACCAGGGTGGCATTGTTTTCTCTTAAGTTTGATATCCTCCTAAGGATTTCCACTTATTACAGTTTTGTAAGTGTATTTATACACTGAAAAAAATCAAACAAGGAAAATTCAATTAAATGTATTTTGTTTTGGTGATAGAGGTTTGTCTTCATATTACTTTATTTTCATTAGGGTACATGAACTTTTGAAAGTGACCTCTTTCCCCATTTTATCTATTCCATAAAGTAAATACAATTTTAACAAAGTTCTGACTTGAAATGTTTAGTTCTAATGCATTTAAATATACATATATTTAATAAATAAATTTGTTATATTATTAATATAAATATATATTATATAAACACATTTATATATATAAATGTAAATTATCTGACTTATATAAGTCATTTGGTAAAAGGAATATTAGAGTGGAGCGTAAGGCCAGCTTCTACTTTTCCAATAATTGTATGACCTAAAGCAAATTTCTTGGCCTTTCTCTGCCTTAATTTCCTCAGCTATGAAATGAATCTAGCAACACCTTTCATTTACAATAATGCTATGAAGATCAAATGAGATAACAGATATGGAGGCATGTTGTGAAATCCAAAGTGCTATATACACACAACATATTATGAACCTCTTAAATCCTTAGTTTCTGAAATGAAGAAAATACTTACATGCACTACATCTCTCACAGGGTTGTGGTGAAGGAAGCACTTTGCAAACCTTAAATCACTATATAAATGTGTCATTATAGCAGAGTCTCTTTAATTCTGCCTGTACTAATTTGTATTTGTGATTATTCACCCTGGGCTGAGGTAAAATTTCATTTTGTACTATGAAGAAATGGTTTTAATACTGCAAATAAGATTATCAGAGCCTGTTTAACTTTTAAAAAATTATTTTTAAAGACTTAAAATGAAAAGTTTTCAGGTGAGTATATATTATTAATTATAAAGGAGTCTTTTCTGCTCTTTAAAATAGGAACTGAAAAAAATTTTAAATATATTCTGCTGTTCTTAGTTTACTACAGGTCTTTATCCACTATAGTTCACATTAACCAGGTTTAATAGTAATTAGTAAAACTATAATTATATTTGAAATGTCTAGTCATTACTCAGAATACATTCAGTGCTATCTCTTAGACCAGTGGTATCAAACTCAAAAAGAAATGGGGGTCACTAATCTGTTCATAAGGATCCCTGTGGGCTGCATATTGACTCAATTTTAAAATAATATTAGCTATGTTTTATTGCATTTTTATTTTGTTATATATATCTGAGTTACATTTTAATCTGGTTTGGGCCTCATTTGGGAGTGTTTGACACCTCTTTCTTAGACCTTGGTTATCTTTATATTTTTTGAGCAATGGAATTAAGATATTTTTCTTGTAAATGTCTACAGGCGTCAGCTACAAACTCAGGCCCAGCTCGTGTTAGAAGAAAATAAAATTTTGATGCAGCAGCTTGAGATTCAGCAAGCCAAAGCCAAAGAGAACAACCAACAGCACAATCAAGAAGGTGAAAGGTTTTTCTAGTGTTTTCTTGGAGTAATTGTGACCTTGCCACATTTCTGTGAGTTGTACATGATCCCTATTGTACCTTCTCTGGACTTTGAGATTCCCATGACTGCACTTGAAAGGTACTACTACTAAAGGAGAGTCTTGATTCTTTTTGTAACCATGGAACTTTCTCACTTATCTCTTTGAGTTGCAAATGATAAGAATGAATGATAAAGTAAGAATGTTGCTGAAGAGCCTGATTCTGCTGGTTCCTAACTGAAGTAGGTTCAAGGCTATGTAATAGGTTCTTGACCAGGGGAGAAATGCACCTAATTAGAGTAGGAAGAGTATATTTGCCTGCCTCTAATCTTTTTCCCTCCTCCTCCCAAAAAACCATCTTTCACACAGCTTTCAAAGTAATCTTCCCAAATCATGTCTAATTATATTACTCCCTTAAAAATCTTCAGTGATTCCCTATTGCCTTTTTATAAAATATAAATTCTTTATCTTGGTATTTAAGGCACATATCCTACATGCACTCAACATTCCAGCTAAATTGACCTATTAGCTTGTCTTTGAACTTGGCTTTACATTTCCATTTCCAGGCTGTCACTTATATCAGAAATGTACTTTGTCCCTATTTTCATTTCTTGGAATTCTTATGGAGTTCTGCTAATGGACCACCTTCTACACTAAACCTTTCCTCATCTCCCCAGTTATTGTTGGTTTCTCCCTCCTCAACTGGCCTTGTTATACCTTTAAATCTCTGCATGTCGTGATCCCCTGTAAAATGTGAGCTTCTTGAGATCAGGGACTATTTCATTTTTTGTCTTTCTATTCCTAGCACCTAGCACAGTACCTTGCATGTATTTCCCATTTAATAAATGATAGCTGAATTAAATTTAATAAGGGCAAGAAGAGTAAAATTACCTGGAGACTATAGATCTAATTAAGGACAACCTGGAACTTGAAGGAGACTTGAAAATAGAGAGAAAACTTACCACATACATCTGCTAAGGCCAGATATCAGAGAGGAGCAGATGTGACATAGACTAGTGGTAGAAAATCCACTAGTAAATCATAGGAGACAGTGCCTAAGAAAAGAGGCAGTAATAAAGTAATGGCCTTAAATCTCTTTTCATAGATAACAGAGAATGAATTAACTAGAAATCTTATAACAAACTAGTCATCTTAACACTAGGAGATAAATTTGAACTTATAGGCATCTCTGAGACTTAGGATTTAACTCAGTCAGCAAGTATTCTACTTATTTGCCAGACACACTAGGGATATAATGACAGAATGAATTAGTCCCTGCCCTTAAGGAACATGCATTATAACAGAGGAAACAGAGTGAGTGTGTGTGTGAGAGAGAGAGAGAGAGTGTGTGTGTGTGTGTGTGTACAAAACATAAAAAGTATATACAAGGTAACCTTTTGAGCAGAGTTTGAAGGAGATCAGGAATCCCGAGAGGCAGACGTGAGGAGCAAGGGCTTCTCAGGCAAAGGCACAGAGACAGGGTGTGGAGTGTCATGTGTGAGGAACAGTAAGGAACCCAGTCTGTATGGATTGTAGAGTGTATGAAGGGGATTAATGTAGGTCTGGACAGGTAGGATGGGGCTGAGTTGTGAAGAGCTTTACATTTCACACACTTTATTTGATCCTAGAGGTAATAGTGAAACCACTGGAGTTTATTAACTAGGGAGGTGACTGTGCTTTAGGAAAGTCACTTTGGTGGCTATGGGAAGAATGGAAAGAGACTTGAGGCAGAGAGAGCAGCACTCCAGCTATGTCAGTAATTTAGACTAGAGTTGATAAGCACCTGAATATGTGTGGAGAGAAAAGGCAGTGTGTACAAGAGATGTGGAAGTGGAAGTGACAAGATTTGGCAACTGTATATACGGGATGAGGGAGAGTGAAGAGCTGAGAACGGCACCCAAGTTTTTGAACAAGGGTAACTGCGTACTGGATTTGGAATTCAAGGATCTGGGTTCAAATTCCAGCCCCAACACTTAATAGTGTTATGATCTTGAGCAAGTCACTCAAATTCTCTTTTCCTTTAATTACTTTATTTATAAAATGGAGAGTTTAGATTAGATATCTAAAGTCCTTTCCAGTTTTAAATCTTTGTGTCTGTAATGATAGGGGATATCTTCATTTAGCTATCTGCTGTGGCTCTTCTCCTAAAAGGTATTACACCTGAGAGATTATTGACTAGCTTTGAGAATAATGTCATTCTTCAGGAGGTGATGATGAAAGGAACTATTCCTAACTTGATTATACCAAATTAGGAGGAAATTATAAATGGTCAGAACTCTGGGAGGAATTGGCTACATTATCATAGTCTTTATGGTAGATGTGGAGAGGAAAGTTGAGCATAATTTGGTACATACACTAAATTTTGAAAGAGTAGATTTGAAGGGAATGTTGGATTAATAGGATTCATGTGCACCCAAGAACAAAATTCTGAAGGAACAAACAAATGATTCCCATGGGGAAGAAATAGAATTAGGGTTATGGAGTATTGTCTAAAGGAATCAGCATGGATGGACAATTTTTCATCATTCAACTCAGATTTTTTTATAGTATTTTATTTTTTCAATTACATGTAAAGACAAATTTTAAAATTCATTGAAAAAATATTTTAGTTCCAAATTTTCTCCCTCTCTCCTTCCCCTCCCCTTTCCCTAAGATGGTAAACAATTTGATATAAGTTATGTGCAATCATGTAAAACTTATGTCCGTATTAGTCATGTTGTGAAAGAAGAAACACACCAAAAGAAAAAAAACACAAAAAATAAAGTGAGAACATGCTTTGATCTACATTCAGACACCATTGGTTATTTCTCATAGTCATTTCACCATGAGTTCTTTGGAATTGTCTTGGATCATTGTATTTCTGAGAATAGCTAAGTCATTCATTGTTGATTCAACTTTTTAAAATTTTTAAAAGTGATTCTCCCCACTAGGTTCTTTGAAGGCAGAACTCTTTCATTTTGTCTTTGTATGACTAGTACCTGTCACAGTGCCTTGTAGTAGTTGCTTAATAAATGCTTATTGAAAGATATATATTATATGGAAGATGGAAGCAAAGACTGACAATTGAAAATGTATAAAAACATGTAGTAGGGTCAGTAAGAATATAAAAATACTATGTCTAGAATGAACTGAAGATTATAATAAATACTGAGGACAGTAAAAAGTTTTTTGTGCTGGGCTGGGTAACGTCAAAGAAAGACCAGGTTCAGGATGGATGGCATAATTATAATGAAGAGAAAGCAGAACTGTTCAACTTGCATTTTGCTTTTTTTTGCTCTCCTTCAAACTGAGTAGCAGGTAAGCATTTATTAAGCACCCACTGTGTGCCAAGCACTATGCTAGGTGCTGAGATACAAAGACACCGCCCCCCCCCCCAAAAAACCACCACAACAACAAAACCAGTCCCTGCCCTCAAGAAGCTTACATTTTTGTGGAGAGGTAGGGGACAACATGTACGTAGAAAATTAAATACAAAAGTAATTATACAAAGTAATTTCCACGGGGTGGTGGCTATATGTCTAATATGAAGGACAGTTTATGAACAGTAGGAGTTCCAGAGGTACAGTGGAAGGGTAGGGTAGAATGGGACTGAGATTAGGGAGGGATGAGCCTGGCATTCATACATGCATGCATGCATACATACAAACATACATATCTGTGCTTGTTTATGTTAATTTTACATCTTCCTTTAGTTTTTTTTGGAATGTCTGTTCTTTGAAGATGTGTGCTGTGTCTTGTTACTTGACTTGTAACATATCCAGTGTATAGTGGGTATTTATTTATTAACTGTTCACAGAATGTAGATACAACAGTTTTGAAGAGTATACTCATTCATTATAAATTTGCACATTTTCAAAGACTGTTATGTGTAAATGTGCAAAAAAGCAACTTCATGTGAGACTGCTCAAGTCAGTGTTACTAGCTGATCTAAAATCCAAGGTCTAATTCTGTTGTATTAAATCTAACACATTAAATTTTATCCATTTTTTCTCTTTTTTAAAGTTTCCAAACTGATTAAACAGCAAATGCTTCTGGAAAGTAAAGTAAAGAGCCAAGAAAAGGCACTAGCTGAGAAGAAGGAGCAGGTGGACATTTTACGCTCTAAATGTCAAAACCTGAAAATACAATTGGATAGCCAAATAGAGATAAAAGTCCATGACATAATTGTGAATGAACTCAAAAGGTAGGGCTCTTTACATATTCTAAAATAAGTTTTTCTTGATGTCATTTTTTTTCACATTACCATAGTTTCCCCCAGTATGCTTGATCCTCCTCTCTCCTTGATAGAGATCATCCCATGTAACAGATAATTTATAAAGCAAAAGAGGGAGAAAAAAATCAGCATTAACAGATCAATATAAATGTCTGAAAATGTTTTGGGCCTCCCACCTCTGCAAAAGGGCAGCTAGGTGGTACAGTGGATAGAGAGACATACCAGAAGTCAGAAAGATTCATCTTCATGAGTTCAAATCAGACCTTAGACACTTACTGGCTGTGTGACCCTGGGCAAGTCACTTAAACCTGTTTTTCTCAGTTCCCTCATCTGTAAAATGAGCTGGAGAAGAAAATGATAAACCACTCCAGTATCTTTGCAAAGAAAACCCCTAATGAGGTCATAAACAGACAGGATTGAAAAAAGACTGAACACCTCTGCAAATTGAGGTGATAGAGCCGTCTTCTTACATTTCTTGTTTTGAGCTGTGCGTAATCTTTGTAATTTTGCAACATTAACTTTTTAAAAAATTTTTTCTTATATTGATGTCATCATTGTGTACGTTGTTTTCTTGATTCTCTTTACTTCATTCTGTATCAGCTCATGTGGATCTTTCCATGCTTCTCTGTATTTATCATAGTTATCATTTCTCCTAGCACATAATGTTCCATTAATTCATATACTATAATTTGTTTAGCCATTCCTCAGTCAGAAGACATCTACTTTGTTTCCAATTCTTTGCTCTCACAAAAAGTGTTGCTATACATATTTTGGTATAAATGGGGACTTTCTTCTTAACAATGGGCCTCTTTGGGGTATAAGCCTAGTAGAAGAATCTCTAGGTCAAAGAGTATGGGCATTTCAGGCATCTTTAAGTATTTTTTAACATTTCCTTAAGTATTCCTGCCTTTACTCTGGCAATTGGTAATAAAGAGCATAAAAGAAGAGTTTTAAATCCAGACATTGTATTGTTTTCTAACTCAAATTAACCATATCTATAAGAATGAAAAATACTGCAGTACCTCAATAATCTGTGATCTCATCAATTCAGACACCTCCAACAGTATAGATTGTAACTCATCTGTGCCTTCTTATCTGTGTGACTCTTGTCCAGTGTCTAGCACACATTCCAGGGACTTTCCTCTAGATCTCCTGACATTGCATCAATACCAGTGGCTGTCAGTTGCTTAGCCTTCAATTTCATTACATCAATGGCCCACCTACATTTCTGGTCACATATTTCTTTGATAATATCTGCTATGCTACTTATATTTAATTTTTCATTGTTAATATGTTGCAGGCTACTTATGACCCTCATGTATCTCTTTATTCTGTTTAGGGGACCAGCAGCTGTAATGCTTAGGACTTTGTTGTTCCATGTTTTGCAGCCACATAGTGTCACTAGAAGAATACTGGTTTTAAAAACAGACACATCCTGTCATAAAAGTACAGATATACAGATAACTCCATATCTATACATTTACCCTGCCCTTTGACCTTATCATGACCTCCAGTTCCTCTACCCTTCAGCTCTCTCCCAGGCTATCCCCTATGCACTAGCTACACTCTCCTCCCTTTTCCATCTTGGCCCCTTGGTGAACTCCGCCCATGTCTCTTGATTCCCTTGCTCCCTTAATCTATTGAAGATCTTGCCCCGCCAAGCTTCAACCTTCAGGTACTCCCACTATCCACCTCTATCCTTCCTACTCACATGCTGATGAATGAAGGTGGAAAAAAAATCACAAAACTGTGCTGACTGGGGTCACTATATTCATAAAACCTCAACGGGGCTCTCACTTTGGCAAGGCAATCCTTTTATATCTCCTCAACTGATTCAGTATCCCACGCACCACAACAGTTTTTTCAAACCTTTCCTTATTTCCTCAAACTTCTCATGGTTTCTCTTCTCTCTACCCTCTCAGCTAAGAATGTTTTCTCAAATTTCATTGAAAAAAATTGTGGACATTGACCAAGAGCTCCCTCTTTTTCCCCTCCTCCCCATCTCACATTTCTCTGATGCTTATTGATACTATCTTCTGTTTCACCACTGTCTCAATGAATATGTGACCTTTCTTGCCAAGCAAACCCCTCTATGATCCCATTCCATTCTGTCTTCTCTAGCAAATTACCTCCTCTATCATCCCCGTCTTCTCAATTCAATCTCTTCTGTCTTTTGGCCGCTTCCCTACTGCCTATAAGCATATCCATGTTTCCCTCATCCTCAAAAATTCCTCACTTGACCTGTCTATCCCTGCTAGCTATCATCCCATATTTCTCCTCCTTTTTCTTTAATAAACTCATGGAGAAGACCATCTACAAATCAGTTCCTCTACTTCCTTTCCTCTTACTGTGCTCTAGCTTCTAACCTCAACATTTAGCCAAAACTTCTCTTTCCAAAGTTACTAATGATCTCTTAATTGCCAGATTTAATGACCTTTTCACAATCCTCATCCTCCTTGTTCTATCTGCAGCCTTAGACACTGTTGATCACCCTCTTCTCTCTTGGTTTTCATGATAACTGCTTTTTCCTAGTTTTCCTTTACCTGTCTGATTACTCCTCAATCTCCTTCACATCCAGGTCTTGCCCACCAGCAGTGGATATATCCCAAGACTCTGTCCTGGTCTTTCTTCTCTTCTTTCTCTGTCCTTGTTTCACTTGGTGATCTCATCAGATCCCATGGAATCATTTATCATCTCTATGAAGATGATTCTCAGGGATTTTAGTCAGTCAGAAAAACATTTATTAAGTGTCTGCTGTGTGCCAAGTACTGTGCTAAGCACTGGAGATACAAATAGAGACAACAGACAGTCTGGGAGACAACAAACAATACATTTGCACAAATAAGCTATATTTAGGAAGAATAGAAAATAATTAAAAGAGGGGAGGTGCTAGAGTTAGTAGATAGGAAATGCTTGTTAGTAGTTGGGAAATCCCACAGAAAATGAGATTTTAGTAGGAAACAAGTGTCGTTGAATGGAAGAGTACATGGTAGAGTGTAAGGTGTAAGAAGACTGGAACAGTGTGTGAGTGTGTGTGGGGGTAGGTTCTGAAGGGCTTTGAACACCAAACAAGATTTTATATTTGATCCTGTTGGTGATAGGGAGCCATTAAAGTTTAATGAGTAGGGGGTGTGACATGATCAGACTTTCACTTTAATAAAATCACTTTGATGTCTGAATGGAGGATGTATTGGAGTACAGGAGGATCCAGCAGGAGACTATTTCAGGCATGGTATGTTGAGGGCTGGCCTGCACCATGATGGTAACAGTAACAGAAGAGAGAAGGGGGCATATTCGAGAGGTGTTGCAAAGGTGAAATTGACTAGCTTTGGCAACAAATTGGATATGAGTGATATCCAGCATGAGACTGAGAGATAGTGAGGGGCTGAAGATGACTCCTAGGTTGTAAGCCTGAGGGAATGGCAAGATGATGTTGCCTTCTACAGTAATAGAAAAATTAGGACAGAGGGAGGGTTTAGGGCAAAAAAAAATGAGTTGAGCTTTGGAAATGTTGAGTTTAAGATGTCTCATGGATATCTAGTTCAAGATGTCAGAAAGGCAGTTGGAATGCAAGATGGGAGGTTAGCAGAGAGGTTAGCTGAATAGATAGATTTGAGAATTATCAGCATTCAGATGCTAATTAAATCTATGGGGGTTGATGAGATTACCAAGTGAAGTAGTATGGAGAGAGAAGAGAAAAGGGTCCAGTGTAGAACCTGTGAGCCACGTATAATTAGATGGCATGACCTGGGTGAGGATCCAGCAAAGGAGAGAGAGAAAGAAAGAGTGGTCAAATAGGTAGAAGGAGAACCAAGAGAGAGTGGTTTCCCAAAAACCTAGAGAAAAGAGAGTGTTAAGGAAGAGAGGTCAATTTAACAGTGTCAAAGGTGGTAGAGAGGTCAAGAAGAATGGAGATTGGGGTTGAGATTCTTAAAATCTAGCCATGGCTCAGATTCCTAAAATCTAGCCACTGCTCGGATTCTTAAAATCTAGCCACTGCTTACCCATGTTCAGACTCCTTAAGAGTCTGCCCGATATGATGGATGTTCTAATAAACCTTGTCTTTGACTGAAAAAAAAAAAAAGAATGGAATTTGCCAACTAAGAGATCATTGATAACTCTGGAGAGAGCAATTTCAGTGGACTGAAAAGGTTGGAAACTGGATCTTGAAGGGTAAAGAAGAGAGAGGAGAGAATATAGAGGCACAAATCATAGATGACTTTTTCAAAGAGTTTAGTCACAAAATGCAGAAGAGATATAGGGCAATAGTTAGTGGGAATAGAAGGATCAAGTGAGGATTTTTTGACAATAGGAAAGACATGGGCATGTTTGTAGGCAGGAGGGAGCATCTAGTATGCAATAAGAGATTGAAGATGAATGATAGAGTGAGGATGATGAGTCAGTCTGCTGGGGGAGACAGGATGGAATGGGATTGATTGTGCAGGTGAAGGGATGAGTGTTGTTATGCAGTAGGTTAACTCTTTGTGTGAGACAGGCAAAGTTGGAGATAGTGGCAAAAGGCCTTGGAGTGACAGGAGATGACAAAAAGGGAAGAAGAAGGAAATCACAGTGAATGGCCTCAATTTTTTCTGTAAAATATGAGCCATGGTTCTCAGCTGAAAGGGTGAGAAGAGGAGGAACTCTGAGAGGTTTGGGAAAGGATGAAAACATTTGGAAGAGCCACTGTGGAGAATTAGATAGCGAGTTGATAAAGGAGGTGTAGGGTTGCCTAGCACCACTGAGGCCCCAGGTGAGGTTACATAACAAATTTGTAGTGGCTTCAGAATGGTTCCATGATTTTCTTTCCCTACATTTAGCAGCATGTGTATAGGAGTAAAGGACAGATGGTGGGAAACATCCAAAGGTGGCTTGGCAGGGTGCTATCAGTGATATGATAAGAGGGCCAGGACTCAAGAGAAGAGGACCATATAGTGTTGAACTGGCTCATCAAGGGGTCAAGATGGGGTAAAGAGGAGAGAGAGGCTCGTACAGGGGAGATGTCCCGAGAGAGAAGTGAAGGGTTGAAGTTTCGGAAGTTATGGTGTGGATGAAGACCAGAGTTTAGTAAGGGAAGGCAGAGGGAGAGATGAAAGTCAATGGATTATGATCAGATAAGGAAATTTCAGGGTAATTGAATATGGAGGTGTTGCATTTGTAGATGATGACACGATCAGGCATATGGCCATCTTTTTGTGCGGGTGAGGAAGAGTGGAGCAGTAACTCATGAGAAGTGAGTCAGTTGAGGACAAAAGCTGCTAGGTTTGATTAGGCATCAAATATGAATAGCATAGACCTCAAAGGAGGTAAGGTTATTGAGTGATGGAGGTAACGGAAACCCTGGAAGTGGCAGTAGGGAGCAAAAAATATTCCAACTTCCCCACCTTGCCAGTCAGCCAAGGGGAATGAGTGAAGGTTCAACCAGTTAGAACTGGAAGGAGTGGCCAGGAAAGCTAGGGGAGGAGAGGAACCAGGTTTTAGTGATAGGTAGGGGTGGAAGGGGGGAGGGGAAGGAAAGATTATTTGTCTAGCCCTATCCTCTCTCCTGACCTCCAGTCTCACATGTCCAGCTGTTCATAGGACATCTCAGACTGGATGTCTCAGATATCTTCAATTCAACATGTCCAAAACTGAACTCATTGTCTTCCATCCCCCTCAAAAGAAAATAGAAACCCAACAACAACCCTCCCCTCTTCCAAACATCCTTATTACTGTTGAGAATTTGCTGTCATCCTCAGTTCCTCACTTTTACCACCGCTATCCCCATCCATTCTATTGCAGAGTTCTAACATTTCCTACTTGAATCACATCTCTTAGATGTTTTACCTCCTTTCTCCTTACATTGCCACCACCCTAGTAAAGGCCCTCATTACCTCACTTCTAGATTACTCTGAGAGTCTTTTGGATGATCTCCCTCAGGTCTCTCCCCATTCCAGTCCATCTTCCACTTACCTGCCAAGTTGACCTTCCTAAAGTGCAGTTCTCACCTTCTCACTTCCCATTCAGTCAAGCAGAGAAGATCTCTAATATTTGATCCTATTAAATCCTGTTTGCCTTTTAAAGCCGTTCATAACCTGGCACTTTCTAGTCTTTTGCCTTACTCCCCTATGTGTACTCTTCCAACCAGTGACACTGGTCTCCTTGCTGTTCCTTGAACAAGACACCTGGACTCCAGGTATTTTCCACTTTCTGCCTTCCATGCGTGGAAATTCTCTTGCTCCTCATCTATGACTCCTGGTGTCTCTGATTTTCTTCAAATTCCGGCTAAAATCCTACATTCTACAAGAAGCTGTTACTGATCCCCATTAATACTAGTGCCTTTCCCCTGTTGATTATCTTGTTTGTTCTGTATGTATTTGTTTGCATATAGCTGTTTTCATGTTGTTTCCCCTTCTCCTTGAGAATAGGAACATTTTATGACTTTTTTTTATCTCCAGTACTTAGATGAATACCTGATACATAGCATATGCTTAATTAATGCCTAATAAATGCTTGTTGACTGAGGCCACCCTCCCTGGCATTTCTGTGAAAGGTATAGGAAGCACAGAAGTCAGAGTTAGAACCCAAGTGGCTGCAAGTCTGGCACTTGCTCTCTAGTTAGATTGGAAGTCAACCAAATATAGTGTTCTGGAAGGTTCTCTTTTATACAGTCAATTGTGATGCCTCTTGACTTAGTAGTTAGATTTACTTTTTGTTTTGATAAAAGCCTCTTAATTTTTACATGTAAATGTATTTGTTATAAGCAAAATATGATGTTACTATCTATATAGTTGCTAAATGCATATTTGCTTGAAGCCTCTACTAAAGCTTTTTAGGTCTTGTTTACAGCAAATTTTATTATAATAGAAATATATTTAATATCAGTTTTTCATGTTAACTTATAATAATTTTAAATCAGTATTATACTTTGACTCTCAAGAAAAATGTCAAACTTCTCCATCTTTGGCCCTAAAAGTGGGGCAGATAATATAATGAAACACATTTCCTAGCCCACTTCTCCTATCCCATCTTCCCAGACCTCAGCAGTGTACCTGTCTTCCACAGTGACCAAGGCCTACTTCAGTCCTCCTCCGTGAGAGTGACCCTCTCACAGAGGGCTTGCAGAGTTCTCATGCCAGGGACTGGAGGATTATATTGGTGATCGATTATCTCACAATGATCTTGTCTTAACAGTAGTATGTTGAATATAACTTCTTGCTTTTTTTCTCCCAGCCAGCTGCAGAAGGAAAAAGAGAAATGGAGTGCAGAGACTGACAGCTTGATAGGAAAGATGACAGAACTGCAAGCACAAACCAAGAGCCTGCTTTTAAATAAAAGTAAATTGGAAGCTGAAAACAAAGTCCTGGGAGCTGAATTGGAAAAGGCACAGAAATTAAATAGGTTTATCAATTTTCTTTTTTAACTTGTTTTTCCGCCACACTAAATAAAATATCCAAAAATATGCCTGAACTCCATGTTGGAGATTTATAGCCTTTGTCTTTTCCTTTTTATCTTCTAGTACCCCTATCTTTGTTTTGTTAATAAGTGCTATGTAAAGAGAGAATGCTAATTAGAATAATTCTCATATCACAATAACAGTACAGTAAAGGCTGGTTTATCTGATAAAGCACCCAGAAATCAGCATTTCTCAGTGTCAACAGTTCAATAACAATTGATACTGATGATGACCTTGATTTATATATAAGGCCCCTAGGTACCATCTGAGTCATGATATAGTATTAACCAAAAGTTATTTGGTAAACTAGAGTACTTTATTCTCTAATGGTGCTAGAAAACAGAGACTTTAGTATATATCAAACAAATTGCCTATGGAAACTGAAGAAGAAAAGACACATCTCATGAGGTTTTTGTGTAGGTAATTTTTACTTCATGTTCTCCAATATTTCATTTATGGAATGAATATAATTCATATATTTCTTTTGTGCTCATTTTGCATAGGATCTTTAGTATGAGGTATACTGGAAAGAGCATTAGGAAGCAGGAGACTTGGGTTATAGTCTCACTTCTATTACCAACTTACTATGTTAAGGTTTCTTCCTAGGTAAAATGAAGAGATTGGATTAAATGTTCCTAAAGTTCCTCCTAGTTCTAACATTCTCGGTCTACATGAGTCAGAAATCCAAAGGAAAAAAAAAAGGGTTTCATTATTCCATTGATTGCTCAGTTATTATGTATGTTGATGATATTATTTTGTATCAATAAATTAATATGTTTAGTCTAAAAGTAAATTCTCATATGAGCTTTTACTTTTAAATTTAATGAAAGCTTCAGGTTGTAAAATAATATAATTTAACTTCTGAGGCATTTGATGTTCTTAATAACATAGCTATTTCATTGTCACAAAACTAGTAAGTTTTTTTTTAAATGTAATTATCTGGTGAACTTTTGTAGGGGATCTCAAAAGCAAATAGACCTCCTTCAACAACAAGTAGAAGAAGCAATGGAGAAAGAAGAGGTAGCTCACCAGTATCTGACAAATTTTGTCATTTTGGCAAATGGTATAGCTCAAGAACGTGACAATCTGATACATTTGGTAAGTTTCCTCAAGATTACCTCAGGTAAAACCGCTTTTTATTGTGCGTGCTTAAGATTTTTAAGGATATTAATTCAAAATTAATATTATTTAAAGCTTTAAAAAAATCTTTATACCTCCAAGTGTCTCGAGTGCTTTACGTAATATTCACTTAAGTCTTTGTTGACTTGAATTTCAAAGTATAACAAGCTTCAAAATATTCTGTTTCAGACATGTTTTCCAATTAGATTTTGTTTTTAAATCAACTGTATTCATCATAAAAGGTATTTATTGGAAACAGTAAAAATTAAACCTTGGAAGAAGACTTAAGTCATACTTTGGAAGAGAAACAACTATTTTGTTCTACTTCTGAGAATTACTATTCATTCTAATCTGCCATATAAGAATTACGGTTGTAATCTTTTTTAACATGTATCTAAAACAGTTTGGTCATATTTTCCTTAGTCTAACAATGGGAACAATATAAAATGCAAAATAACTTTCAAATGTGTAGGTATCAGATTAATAGTTTAGCATTAGCATTTTCTTGTGTTCTGACAACTCAGAGCCCTGTTACTGTGAATTTCTTTGAATAAGAAGCAACTGTGGTTTGTATTGGTAACCGGGATTGTGAGACTGAATATTTAGTAAAAGTACCCACTTTTATCTCCAGCTGGAAGAAGGTGGTAGTGACAAGGAGAGTACTGAGAAGAAGTGAAAAATTTAGTTCAATGAGTTTAGACTATTCTAAACTATTCTAGATTCTCTTTTGGAATTTATGAGGCTTCTACTCTTCAGGTGTTTACATTCCTGGCTACCATATACAGAGTAAATAAATACCCAGGATTTTGTAGGAAAAGGACATTAACAAGTGTTGGGGAAGGATCAGAAAGGACCTTAGGAGATGACCCTTGAGCTACACCAGGAAGGGAGCTATGTCTTCCACGAGGTGGAGGTGAGAAGGACATGCATTCCAGGCATTTGGAAAGGGATGGAGGTGGGATGTGGAAAGTATGTTGGGTCATGATTGCAGGGGGCCAGTTTGTCTGGACAAATTGGACCTTTATCTAGTGTGGGAGACTTTAAATGCCCAAGGAGTTTATATTTTATACTAGAGGCACTAGGGAGCCACTGAAGTTTTTGGAAAGGTCTCTACTCAAGCACTGTTATAATGACTAGCTGCAGGGAGGAGGTGGCCTTTGGTTCTGGAAGACCATTCCAGCAGAATTCAGTTGTTGAAAAATTACACTAAGGGGCCAAAGTCAAGATGGCAGGTCAGAGGAAACATTTTTGCCTTAACTCTTTGAGCATACATCTTCCACAATAATCTAGAAGGTGTATCAGACCAAATTTTAATAGGAAAAGCCAAGAAAAAAAGTCACAGTGAGTCATTTTCCAGCCAAGGGTAACCTAGGAAGATAGAGAAGTCTGTGGACACTGGAGTAGGAGTTGGCCATGAGTGCACATAGTAGCGATGGGTACAGGGAACATTCAGAGCCTGGAGAGGGAAAGGGAGCCAAGACAGAGCACTAGGGCAGAAAGCCATGGAATAGAAAGAGATCCTGGGGGATCCAAGAACAAGGACTAGGAACAGGAACAAGTGCTATCTGGCAGCTCTGTAGCTCATTACCCAGTTCCAGGTCATAGAAACACACATAGAGAAGAGTGTCACAAGAGAACAGGGCCCTAGCTGAATACTGAGTAAGAAACAAGTTCCATATATAGTTCTGAGCCCAGGAATAGAGTAACAACCCAGTCTTAACCTTTAGTCCAGCCCATAACCCTGTAGTGGAATAACTCGGGCAGGGGACCAGGGCCATAGGAGGGCCAGCATGCTGTTCAGTCACTCTGAATCTGTAAAATCTCCTAACAAACTAACTGTGACTGAGTTAAGCAGCAATCACTGAAATTCAACGATATACAAGCCAACAGATCCAACTTACAGAGCTTAGACCAGGAGGGCAGTGAACAGACCTGTCCTCAGATCACATGGTCTTGGAAGCACTGAAAACTTACAGGCCCCCTGGCCTGAACTGTGAAAGGAACGGAAGGATGTAAAAGGACATAAGCCCAGGCCAGACATCTCCCCCCACCCTTCCCAGAAGAGTCCAACATTAACATAAAGTCCAAAGTCAAGGACTAAGCTGGAAGAATGAGCAAGCAAACAAACAGAAGGAACCTGACCATAAAGAGCTACCATGGTGACAGGGAAGCTCAAGACACAAACACAGAAAAAGGCAAGGACTGGAAAACATCTTCATGCAAAGCTTCAAAGGGGGCATGTATGGCAGCTAGGTGGCTCAGTGGATAGAGCGCTGGCCCTGGAGTCAGGAGGACCTGAGTTCAAATCTGGCCTCAGACACATAACACTTAGTAGCTGTGTGACCCTGGACAAGTCACTTAACACCAACTGCCTCACCAAAAAGCAAAAAGAAAAAGTAATTCTAAAACTTCAAAGAAAAGTGCAGAACAAGCCTAAGAAAAATTCCTAGAAGAGTTAAAGAGGGAGCTGAAAATTGTTTTGAAAACCAAATGAGAAGTATGGAAGAAAGTTATGAAAAGAGAATTAACAGCTTTGTGAAAGAGATACAAAACCTTACTAAGAAAATAATGCCTTGAAAAATTAAAATTGACCAAATGGAAGCCGGTGACTCCAAGAGACACCAGTGTTTCATTTTAAAACCTTTTGTGAGTTACTTTCTTTTCTGACTTATGAAAAAGATATTGATCATAAGATCTAATTAATCATTGGATTTGATAGGGCCAAAGCATCTTCAATCTTAGGATGAAAAAGGGAAATAGTGATTGTTCTGTTACATGTATGGCTACTTGAGCTGTTCCAATCCACTTTACAGTGTGATAAGTACAGGATATATATGAAAGTGTAAGAATTATAAGGAGATGACTATACACAGAGAAGGATGTCAAGCAGTCACAAAGACCATGCCAATTTTTAAATAACATCTCTTGAAAGGTAATATGGATTCTTTGTTTGCTATTAGAGACTAGTAGTAGAGGCTTTAACAGCTTGTCCTCTTTCACGGTATCCTTTGAGTATTTTGCTGGTTATATGCTTTCAAAGACATTGTTATGCATAAAAGGAAATTTTAAAAATTCACAATCAAATATTACAAATTTTTCTATGTCAAAACAAAGTATAAGGGGCAGCTAGGTGGCGCAGTGGATAGAGCACCGGCCCTAAAGTCAGGAGTACCTGAGTTCAAATATGGCCTCAGACCAAACACTTGACACTTACTAGCTGTGTGACCCCGGGCAAGTCACTTAACCCCAATTGCCTAAAAAACAAAAAAAACCCAAAGTATATTTTGGCAAAGGCCAGATAGAGAGAAGTTCATTCTTCATTCAGTCCAAAACTAGAAAACTACAGAACTTTTCTCTTGAAAACCATTATTTCAAGTTAGTATGGATTTAGCATGAGATTTGCATACTTCATTTCTCACCTGGCTGCTCTCCTGGACATCATAAGTTCAAGTTCAGAAACTCGTCCTTCTGCAAGATGAAATCAGCAGTGAAACTCATACCTCGTTAGCAACCCTGCCCTTGGGACCTCTCCCTCTCTCTCTGATTGGAGAGGGTGATGGATTCATGTCTGAAAGCTCCTTCCAGATCCTCCACCATTTAAGGAGGGCATGCAGGGCATTTATCTCATCATTCCCCACCTGGCTTCTCTCCCGAACTTTATCATCTCCAGAAACTTATCAACCTACAAAATGAAATCAGTTCTGTAACTCAGCCAACTTAGATCATTTCCCACCCCAACTGCAAGTTTCATCTTGCTCCATGCTGGGCCTGATAAAGAGATGCTTAAACAAATGTTTATTGACTTTCTTGACTTCAGAATTCTCTTAAAAACAGAGTCGGGGGGGAGGTTATAACATCATAGTCAACTGGAACAAATTGTCTGTACCTCACCACAGGTATCAGGTGCATGGATTATACTGCAGTAGCTGAATATAAATGTTTTATAATAATCAGGCTTGCTCATCGGATTCTCAGTATAATTCATGATGTTCCTTTGGATGATCTCTTGACTTTTAGAGATCTAATGAATGAAGTCAAGGATTGAAAATAGAAGTGAGGAACAACTGTGACTTACTGCACACTTAGATCCTTAGTGCTTCTGACTGACCCTATGATATACAGAGTATCCCAAAAGTCTTAGTACAGTTTTTTAATAGCTTAAATAGCTTTAAACTGCACTGAGACTTTTGGGCCACCCTATATAAAGTTGTATGTTTTCCCTTAGTCAAATCATGTGAAAATATATACTACTATTGTCTTGCCATCACTGATTAATACATAAATTTAAAAACTTTAGTTGGCCTACCAAAATAGATCCAGAATAAGTTAGCCTCTTTTTTCATTGGTATAAAAATGTGCTTTTCACAATTGAAACATTAAAACATGTACAATTTAATAAGGATGTGTTAACTCCTATACTTGGGTTCAGAAGATTAGTTGCAACAGTGTAGGATTAGAAGTGCATGAGTAGAAAACAGTAAAAGACTTGGGTGTTTTAGTGGACTGTAAGCTAAGTTAGTGTGATATGGCAGCCAAAAAAACCAAAGCAGTCTTAAGTAGTAGCATTAGTGACAGCACAGTGCCCAAAATAAGGGAAGTGACAACCCCCTCTACACTGCCTTGGATTGTGTTTGAGTACCATGTTCAGTTCTAGACACCATCTTTTAGGAAGGACTTTGACAAGTTCAAGTATATGTCGAGAAGGTGACTAAGATGGTGAGGGAACTAAAAATTCTGCCCTGTGAGGATTAATTGAAAGTCCTAGAAAGCTTTGGCTTGGAGAGGGAAGACTTTTAGTGTGGGACATCATAGCTACTTCTAGTATTTAAAGGACTGTCAGGTAGAAGGGGGATTACATTTGTTATGCTTGCCCCTACATGGCAGAACTAAAAGCACTGAGTAGCAATTGTAGAGCCTGATATAGGCCCAGTGCAGTGCTTCTTAAACTGTGGGTCATGATCCCATATGTGGTTGCAAAAATTTGGCAACAGTAAAATGTTTCTCAATGCTCAACAACCAAAAATTCAAAATCAGGCGCTGTGTGAATCCGAGGTATTTCTGGCAGTGTTTGCCTGTGCTGTGTTGCACAACCTCACTGCAGCCTCGGTCCTGAACACAAAGCATGCCCACTTTGTACTACACATGCCCTCAGGCCACACAACACAACCAACGCTGCCTAAATGCCAAAAGGGGTTTTGAGTGGGAAAAGTTTAAGAAGCCCTGGTATAAGGGGAAATTTCCTAAAAATTGGAGCTATCCAGGAAAACGGACTGCCCTACACCAAGATGGTCATACCCTTGATCTTGTTATCACTCACAAATTTCACTCACCACTTCCATGTTCATGAACTCTGAAATTCCCATATGTGACCACATACTGTCTTTCTACCTCTCCCTCTGCGTTGCAACTCTAAAGCTTCATCCTGCACACCGTGACTTACGTGACCTGCATGTTCCACCATCCCCTCAGCTCTTTCCTAGGCCATCACCCCTGCACTGGCTACACTCTTCTTTGTCCATCTTGACCACTTGGTGAACCACTTCAACTGTACACTGTCCTCTTCTCTTGAGTCTCTCGCCTTCTTATCACATGCTGATCTTGCTCTGCTGAGCTTCATTGTTGTATCACTCCTATGGTCTGTTGCCTTTGATCTTATGCACATGCTGCTGAAAAAAGGTGGAGAAAAATCACAAAAATGATGAGTGGTGGTGGCTGCTTAGCTTGAAATAAGCCTAGGAAGCTTAGGTGTAAGCTTCATTCTACTGCTAAAGCAAATTCAGCTAGGTGGTACAGTGGATAGAGCAACAGGCCCTAGAGTCAGGAGGACCTGAGTTCAAATGTGATCTCAGACACTTACTAGCTGTGTGACCCTGGGCAAGTCACTTAACCGTGATTACCTCCAATTAAAATTGCCTCCAGAAATAAAAAAAAGAGAGAGTAGCTACTGGTCCTCCTAATAGTCCTTAGAATGACATTATTCTGTACTGTTGCCAATAGAGTATTTCTGAAAGCCACTGTGAGTGGTGATCATGGGACCCCAGCCACAAGCTTGGGGCTACTCTAAGCCTGTTGTTGGGATAACATTACTAAACAGGCTGAGCATTCCTTGGGTCCTCCAGTTTTTGGCCTGGACACTCTAGGGCATCAAACTAACACAAGAATTTAGTAATAGGAGCAAGTATTTATTAAAAGCATAATACATCTATGCAATAGGAACATAGAGATTAATGTGGTAGGATAAGCTCAGAGGCCTTCTTACTGAAAATAGTCAGAATGGATTCCTTAGGTAACCTCCCCATGACATTTTCTCCTATTAATATTTGGACTGAAATTGTGGATTGTATTTGTCACCTATCACTTATATTGGATTAGGCTTCTACTACTTTTTAATTCACTTTCTATTCCTTTTTTAAAAGCCTTAAAATTATATGAACAGACCTTTCTTAAAGCTAAAAACTCATCTCTCAGAAAAAAGAAAAGAACCCACACATACATGTTGAGGTCAGTGATTGCTGCTGCCTCTCCAGTCACCTGCGTGTTCTCCACCCTCAGACCCTTCTGACCTAGCTTGCCTTTTTCCCCTCTGTCCCATGCTGTGGTCGCTGCTTTTAGATAACAGCAGCTGCCAGGCCAGGGAGCCTTTTGCTGCTGAACAGAATGGTGTAGGCCAGTGGTACCAAACAAATAGAAATGGATCCCTGCAAGCCACATAATGACTTAGAAAACCACAAATTAACATTTATCCATGTTGAATTTTTATTTATTTAGTTTTTGTTAAACATTTCCTAATTAAATTTTAGTCTGGTTCTGGCTGCATTTGGGAATTTTGTGGGCTATGAGTTTGAAACCTCTGGTATAGGATGTGCAACATACAAGTATGAAGTGAAAGTTGAAATTTTCATTAAAAAACAGGGTTAGGTTGGACCCTGATATGTTATTATGAAATTTGAAAAATTTTTACTTCTCTGTGGACACATATTACCTATTTTTCCTTAAGGGAGAATATGATACATTTTCTAGATGTCACATGTTATTGTGTTAATCCTTCTGAAGTATAAGATTCAGGAAATTGTAGTCTCCACTAAAGAAAAATAATGTAAATACTTAGATTAAGAAACAACCTAGAGATTGAAAGGATTTGATTTCTTATCCTAGGTCTGGCACATACTTGCTTCCATTATTAGTTCATCTGACTTCCCAGAATGTTAGAGCTGGAAGAGACCTTAGCTATAATGGAGATATAGGATCATAGTTTTAAAACTGGAAAAAACATTCAGAGACTGTCTAGTTAAACTCTTTCTTTCACAGCTAGGGAAACAGGCCCATAGAAATGAAATGACTTGCCTAATATCACACAACTAATATGGGGCAGAGCTGAGACTTAAACCCAGGTCCTCTGACTAAATTTAGCACTTTACATTTTATCATTTTTGTTTTATATTAATTTCTTTCTTTGGAATGTGGAATTGTCATTGCTGATCTATTTTATATGGAATATTGTAAGAATTTATAACTTTTTAAACATTCAAAGTGTTTAATTTAGGCTGAAAGAAAATAAACATTTTAAAATATAGTAATTTACTTTTTGTCTTGTGTTAATCATATTAACTCAGTTAAAATATATATCCTCAGATATTTATTAGTTTTGTTATTTCATTTGGAAGAAAGACATTGTAGCTCAAGGACAACTTAATATAATAAAACAAACTATTATGCAACAGGAAATTTTTTTTAGTGTTAATATGTTATTGTCTTTTTTTCTTTTTTTAAAATAATTTTTATTTTCCCCCCAATTACATATTAAAACAATTTTTTAACATTTAGTTTTCTTTCTAAGTTTTGAGTTCCAAATTCTATCCTTCTCTCCCTTCCCCTCCCTCAAGACAGTAAGCAATCAGATATAGGTTATACATTTTCAGTTATGTAAAACATTTCCATATTAGTCATTTTGTACAAAAAGACTTGAATAAAAGAAAAACAATGAAAGAAAGAAAGAGGGAAATAGCATGCTTCAGTCTGTATTCAGATAGTATCAGTTCTTTCTCTGGAGGTGGGTAGTATGCTTCATTATTAGTCCTTTGGGATTGTCTTGGATCATTGTGTTCCTGAGAATAGCTAAATCATTCACAGTTCTTCATCATACAATATTGTTGTTACTATGTATAACTTTCTTCTGGTTCTGCTCACTTCATTCTGCATCAGTTCATATAAGTCTTTACAAGTTTTTCTGAAATCATCCTGCTTGTCATTTCTTATAGTATGATAATATTCCATTACGATCATGTACCACAGCTTGTTTGGCCATTCCTTAATTGATGGGCATCCCTTTAATTTCCAATTCTTAGCCACCACGAAAAGAGCTGCTATAAATATTTTTGTACAAAGAGGCTCTTTTCCCTTTTTGTGGATGTTTTTGGAATATGGACCTAGCAGTGGTATTGCTGGATCAGAGGCTATACAGTTTTATGCCTTTGGACGTAATTCCAAATTGCTTTCCAGAATGGTTAGATCAGTTCACAACTACACCAACAGTGCATTAGTGTCCCAATTTTCCCATATCCCCTCCCACATCTATCATTTTCCTTTTTTTATTTTGTCATATTAGCCAATCTGATAGATATAAGGTGGGACGTCAGAGTTGTTTTAATTTGCGTTTCTCTAATTAATAACAGGAAACATTTAAAGTTAGTGACATTTTCTTGAATGATTTTTTCCATTTGATATTCTTAATGTACTTGTACTTCTAGAAGTTATTTAATTAATTCTTGAATAATATTGAAATACCATACAAATCTATACAACTTTAAGCTTAAACATCTGGCTTCTTAGTTGCAGACTCCTCCATTTTCCCTTGGCTTGTGTTGTCAATATCCTAGCTACAGCCAGTACTATGTATCTGAACATTGAGAAGAGAAGATGATGTGAATGTTAAAAAATGGTGGAATGGGACTATACTTATTATTCATCATACCAGTGATGCTTGTACCCAGTTGCAGAAGACTCTAAGAATCTCTTTTCTTTTTTCTTGTTTTTCGACAGGCTCAGTGCCTAGAAAATGAAAAGCAGGGAGTCCTCTACAAAATAATAGAAGGGAATATTCGCTTAGGAAAATTAGAAGAGAAGGTGAAGGTAAGCATCCTATTTAGGGAAACATAGATATTCCTTTTAAAAAACGGGATGAGGTGCTATTCTCGGGTGTAGTGTGGACTTTGTGTTTAAGAACATTATGCATTCACAGAATTACTACATTACTACATACTGAGACTCCTTTCCCTTCATCCAACTGACTACATTGCAAGTGATAACCCTCCTAGTCTTCCCCTGTTAACAGTGTTTTATGTTCCATTATCTCCGTTTCACTTCTATGAGGCTGATGTTCATGGTCTCTCCCTCTACCTCAATTGAATTTGTCTTAAAAAGTTGATTTGAGGACTGTTTTTCACACTAGGTATCTTTTGTGGTATTTATTCATCTCACGTCCCTGAAATGCTAGTTATAGCTTTGATGGAGTGGTACATGGTAGAGTCACACCAAGTAAAAGCAGAGTCACTTAGGTTCTCATTTTCCTAATTTTCGTAACTTACATACAAAACCTTTAAACTACTATGCCCTTGATGCTGTAAGAAAATGCTTGCAGTATCGTATTTTAATTTTCTCAACAATAAAACGAAATCTCTGGCTCTGGATTTATTTAGTTAAAAATACTTTTGCTCGGGTAAAGCTAACATCCTTACCCAATTGTTCCTTGAGGGAGCAACTTTCTTCCCTCTCAAGATGGAAATAACTAATAGAATTAGCTTATAGAATTTTGAACTGGAAAGAGACCTTGGAGTAGGTTGGGGAACCTGTGACCTAGAGGCCACATGTGGCCCTTTAGGTCCTCAAGTGTAGCCTTTTGACTGAATCCAAACTTCACAGAACAAATTCCCTTAATAAATCCCCACCTCTGCCTTAGAGATTAATCCACTTCCCTCATTTTTCAGAGGAAGAAATTGAAGGCACAAGAGGAAGAAGGGGTTTGCCAAAGGTCACACAGGTTTTTTGGTAATAAAGCCAACGCAAGAATTTGGGTCTCAGCATCAGTATTTTTTCCACTGTACTAGGCTGTCTTACATATCCAAGACCAACTTTCTAGATTTCTGTAGGAAACTATATTTAAATTCCAAGCAGTTCTTTACCAGTACGAGGTAGGAATGTTAAGAGTTTCTGGAGCACATGCTCCAGAATCATGTTCATTTTTAGGGACCTTCAAACTGACATATTTCTTAGTGTAAACTAGTTAACCAAAAGTTTATTCCAGTATATACCAAATTAATTATTTTGAACAACATGAAATTTACTATAGTATAAATGAAGAAAATTTATTTCAGGAACTGATACTATGTATGGATTTTGTGGGCAGTGAATTCTTGGCACATCAGAACAGTCTGGAAAAGACTATACAGTAGCCATATTTTTGTTTTGTTTTGTTTTTTGTTGTTTTTTTTTTTTGGTGAGGCAGTCAGGGTTAAGTGACTTGCCCAGGATCACAGAGCTAGTTAAGTGTCAAGCCTCTGAGACCAGATTTGAACTCAGGTCCTTCTGACTCCAATGCCAGAGCTCTATCCATTTCACCACCTAGCTGCCCTGATGGTTAGCTTTTATAAGCTTAATTCTAGTAGTTAATTTATTTCAAAATTTGATCCTGATATAAAAAAGTTTTATTATAATTCTGTAAAAGATATTTAGAATTGATGTTATTTTCCAAGTGAATATATTTTCAATTTAAAATACTAAAAAAATTCATCCTTTTACTGAAGGCTTATAAAAATGTAGCCAACCAGTTGTTTTTTAATAGTTATCTTGTTGATGTTGTAACTTACATTTGTTGAAGACAAATATATTGCTGCATTAAGAAGACAGCTCAGAGTTTTGGTTTTGCTTGATGCATTTTAGAACTAATTTCACAACCTTCACTTTGTCTCCTTGTAAGAGAAGTAACCTTTTAACATAATGTGCCCTTGAAACACTGGAATAAACATCAAAGAAAATGAGATGGGGCAGAAAACTGTGCTAAGCACTTTCATAAATATTATCTCATGATCCTCACAACAACCCTGCAAAGTAAGTACTATTATTACCCCCATTTTATAGATGAAGAAACCTAGGCAAACAGAAGTTAAAGCACTGGCCAAAGATCATATAGCTAGTAAATGTCTGAGGTCCAATTTGAGCTCAGGTCTTCTGGATTACAGGCTCAGCACTCCATCCACTACACCACCAACTGCTTAAAAAAAAAAAAGCAAAGCCCACTGTGGGTGAGCTTCTTATAACTGGTGTAGCCTGCCTGTTTGTCTGCCTCTCTTTCTCTGCTGCTCAGAGCAGGGGGATTTGGCTGCAGGTAGAATTGAGAAATCAGGGGAGTGGTGGTGCCCAGTGGTGCAGCTTCTAGCTAGTGCTGTCTGCTGAATTTCCATGTGCTCTTTGATTAGTTGGGTCAAGAAGTGATCAGAGGTGCCTGCCTTCAGCTGGTCAGCAAAGGCAGAGATGAGAGAGCACTGACTTCATGTGATCTATTTAACATAATCCTGACTTCAAAGCTTCTGTGGCTTTACCTAAATTGCCCTTTACTGCTTTTTACTTTTATTTCTCCATTGATTTTTCATCCCAATTCTCTATGTTAGGATTCCCTCACCCTAACTCTCATATTTCCTTATGAGAGTATTACTTCTTAATATCCCATAGCTCTCTACTGATTTTTAAAAAAATTTTGTCCCTTTAGAATAAAGTATATACTTATGTAGCCTTATTTCCAGCCATAGACCTCATCCTGCCAAATGTCAATCATCCATGCAAGTGAATTTGCTTTCTTGACTTAAGATTCTCTAGTTTATCTTGTCTGTTATCTATATTTCGTGCTTTTGTTTATAAACATATGAGGTCATTATTGCTGCCTCTCTTTGACAGGCTTCTGTGAATTACTGATGAGTCTTTCTGTGTTTTACCTGTTACTCCTATGGTATCTGAATTGGAAACCATTAAGGAAGTTTTCTCTTCCCTCCCTTTCCAGTGTAAAACCCTCTTTATCAAATCCAAAAGACTCCTGAAAAATATTTTTATCATCCTTCATTGGATATCTTGGCCAAGGGATGGGGTGGGGCATACCTATGTCCTTGTCTTATAAATTAAATTATGTACTCTGGGAGAAAGTAACATGACCAACTCTTTGGACCATTCCATTTGCCTGAGGAGTAGTAGTTGTCATTATCCCTGAAACTTAGAATTCCTGATGACTGCAGGAGTCCCCATTAGTGAACATCATAACTCTTTTCTGTCTGATAAAACAAACCTCAATAAACTTAAAATCTCTTATTAGAATCTGGGTCTTTTCTACAAATGCATTGTTCTTGAAAAGCAATGTTTAAAAGCTATGCATGCCTCATATTGTCACCCCTAAAAGAATTTTCCTGAAATGCAGTGGACAGTTCTCTTAGAGTGATGCCTAACAGATTATGTCATATACCTTTGAAAAAGTTGTGATTTATGTAGTTTGTAATCTAACATATACCTCTTGGGATGGATTTAGGGTAAATCCAAATTTAAAACAAATTAAAAAAAAAATCCTCGAAGATAAAGTCAGTATTTGGTTAAAAAAAAAAGGGAAAGTATAGCCAAAATATTACTCACTTAAATTTTCTTTAAAGCCATAGGTTGCAGAATTGCCCTATTTTATTTATTAGAAAATCCTGATTTGGGGGCAGCTGGGTGGTGCAGTAAATAGAGCTCTGGCAGTACCACATCACACCCATCAGAATGGCCAACATGACAAAACAGGAAAATGATAAATGTTGGAGAAGATGTGGGGAAATTGGAACACTAATGCATTGCTGGTGGAGTTGTGAAATGATCCAACCATTTTGGAGAGCAATTTGGAAGCATGCCCAAAGGGCTATAAAAATGTGCATTACTCTCTGACCCAGCAATAGCACTTCTAGGGCTATATCCCAAAGAGATCACACAAATGGGAGAAGGATATACACGTACAAAAATATTCATAGCAGCTCTTTTTGTGGTGGCAAAGAATTGGAATTTGAGAGGATGCCCATCAAGTGGGGAATGGCTGAGCAAGTTGTGGTATATGAATGTGATGGAATACTGTTGTGCTATAAGAAATGATGAACAGGCTAACTTCAGAAAAACCTGGAAAGACTTCTATGGTCTGATGCTGAGTGAAGTGAGCAGAACCAAGAGAACGTTGTTCACAATAACAGCCACGTTGTGTGATGACTAATATTTATAAACTTAACCCTTCCTGGCAATACAAGGATCTAAGACATCTCCAGAGGCCTTGTGATGGAAAATGCTGTCCACACTCAAACAAAGAACTATGGAAGCCGAATTGTTATTTTTTTTTCTCTTCTGTTGAGTTTTGTTTCCTCTTTCTGATGGTTCCTCCTATTGGTTTTAATTTCTACTTACAATATCACTAATGTGAAAATATGTTTAATATGAATGTAAATGTATAGCCTATATCAGATTGTGCGCCGTCTTGGGGAGGGTGGTAGGGCGGAAGGGGGAGAAAAATTTTAAACTCAAAAGCATATGGAAATGATTATTGATAAATCAAAATAAATTAATAAAAAATTAAAATAAAAAAGAAGCAAACCATTGTCTATTCATGTCTTCACACCTTCTATTTGTGAAGTCATAAAAACTCAATAAATGTAAGTTTATAATTAAACAAAACAAAAAAAATAGAGCTCTGGCCTTGGAGTCAGGAGGACCTGAGTTCAAATCCAGCCTCAGACACGTAACACTAGCTTTGTGACCCTGGGCAAATCAGTTAACCCCAATCGCCTAAGCAAAAAAAAAGAAAGAAAGAAAGAAAGAAAGAAAGAAAATACTTATTGTAATGTCTCAAAATAACCTGGTCACCTTTAAATCTATCTGTAAACATTCTAACATAGGACAGCTAGGTGGCACAGTGGATAGAGCACCAGCCCTGGATTTAGGAGGACCTGAGCTCAAATCCGGCCTCAGACACATAACATTTAGGAGCTGTGTGACCCTGGGCAAGTCACTTAACCCCATTGCCTAGGCCTACCCCCCCCAAAAAATATACATTCTAACATTGCTGTTCTCTTCATTTT